CCTACTAACAAATTAAAAGTAGGGTGAATTTCCACAATCTTCAGCCTTTCTTATTTGTTCGCACTGCTTTAGTTTGGGTTAGTGGTTCTTCTTGAAAATATACCTCAATTGCTTCGCCCGAGGTCAGCGCACACTCCCCCTACATAGGAACGCTCGCCGTTGGTCCGTGGGGGGTTAGCGATGATATTAAAGCCCACTTCAGTGTCCCCGCCCGAGGTTTGGGTTCGCACCCCAACTTACCCTTGCAGCTTTTTTATTTTACAGCATTTCTGCGATCTAATTTATTCCATGACATGCCCCACCCGTCCTCTTCCCTAAAATCAGGAGCCCGTAAGACCGAGGGGCACGCTTTGCGCCCCTATCTGGCGGCCCCACGAGGTACTCCTACCGAAAGCTCATCAAGGGAGTACCACGCCAGACACTGCCAGCTTTAATGCAAACATTGTGGTAGTTCCTTAGTGCTACCTTTAATCATACAAATAATGGAGGGTGTTGCCTTTTTACTTAGTCAAAAGTACAATCCTTCTGGCGTCCTTTAGGATTTTATATTGCAAAAACAAAAACTGTTTATATTCAGTATTTTTGTTTGCACAAATTCTGCTTACTGTTTCTTTAGAAATAGCGAAATATGTATAGGAATTCTATGTACTAACTGTCATTGAAACCTTCGCGAATAATGAGGTTTAAATGACAAGAAAATTAATTCCAAAAGTTTGCTTATCTCGATTTCGCATACACAAGGCAGAAACATGTTCCATAATTTACCATATGGACAGTTCAAATACCAGTTAAAAGCCCAGACATTTATTTCGCCGATATTTTGCCACGGCGTGACAGCAGTGTAAGGTTCATCGATGCCCCTGTGTGCTTTCTTAAGACTTGCATTTTCATTTTTTAAATCACGGTAGAAAGTTGTGAGTATAGGTGTTTCAACAATGTCGGTTTTCCTTAAGTAAAAGTGAAGGAAGACAGTAGCCAGTAAAAGTGCACTGCTGTAAAATCTAATGTTACCAGAAACGGTCACTTAGTCGAAACAGCCCGGAAGAGGTTCATAGCACAACTGTCGCATGAGTGACCAGCTGGGGTCACTTATGCCCATTCTCAACAACCTTGAAAGGTAAAATAAAATAAACTGAGCGAGTCTGTCTAACTTACTGCCTACCCGGAGACTAAATGGAACATAACGCGCTGGCGCATGGAGGAAATATTCGACCGGTGGTTCCACGAAACATCCGTAATCGCCGTCGTGCCGCTGTTCAACTTTTGGGATCGTCAATGTGGCAGTACAGTAGCCATCTTCGGTGGGCGCACGATCCATCTTGGAGAAGACACCCTCGGGAAGTTCTGATCCGCCGCTGCGTAGCCACCGAACAGCCTTTAGGGTCTCCTTTAGGGTTCCAACGTAGGCCTTACAGGCAATCAGTAATTCCTCCCCTGGCTCCTTTGCGGCCGCATCATCCTCGACCGAAATCTCTAAAGTGAGCAAAGAAATAATTCATGAGGAGGAGGGTACTTTCAGGATTATATGCCTTACAACAGGACTGAGAATAAGCATCAGGGGGTGGCTATACCGTACGTTTCCGGAAAAAAACGGATCAAGCTGGCTTAAGCTACTTATAAAAATCGGACAAAATCCCCCAGTACGGTTGATTCCCTATCTCACGAAATGTCAAACAAAATTCCGAAATTTGTTTTCCATTCAAAGAGCTTGCCTTAGTTGGGTTGCAAAACTTATGGGCATGCAGCCAAGTAGGAGGATATGTAAGTCACTCCAATTCCCCGGATTTCAAAGAGTATCACTCTGTCCGCCCACAAAACCATCTATCATAGCTCCCATTGATATTCACTGCTCTTATGAATTCTAATATATTTCACGGAAATAATGCATAAAAGTATTCCTTTATATGCTCATTTGGTATAAAATAATGCCTTCTTCATATTTATACTTGAAGAAAGGGTATCTTTCGATTTAAAATAGGTTGGGTAGGGCTGTCTTTAAAGGTCCTATTTGCCTTTGACTTATAATGGTAAACAATTTTTACATATTCAGTAACCCAAATTTCTTCATTTTCCTTAAATTCCACCAATATCAGGTTAAATTTCCACCAATAGGCATCAGTTGCCTGAACAGCAGCAGTTTATGTTGATGGAGTTCATTATATTTAGCTCATTAAGTGGCTTTAATTTAATATTTTTGATCAATTCTAGCACAATTAGATATTCATTTACACTCGCTAACCAAGAATAAGACGTTTATTCACCAATTTTGTAAGACAGTTGGGCGGAGGGAATCGGTATTTAGGCGGCCCCTAAAGCAGCTTTGCCAAAGGCCGAATAATTTTTAACCCCACTGGCCGTCACGTTGAAATTGAAGGTCTCCAAACTACATGCTGTATACATTCCATCTAAAAAAGAAATAATTCCCATGTTGTGGTGAAGAAGTCACATACTTCTCATAACATTTTCTTATAGTAGGGGCTCCAGTTGTATAGTTTCTAAGCAGCATAAATAAATGAACGGATACATTGTTTAATGAATGCACGTGTTACGGTCGTAAAAATTTCATAATGTGAAACTTTTTGCAACCGAAAGATACCCTTATTTTAAGTATAAAAATTGAGAAGCTATTATTTTCTGTCAACCGAGTAAAAGGTAGAGAGAGCATTTTTGTGCAATAACAATACAAAATATACTAAAATTTATAAGCGCAATGAAAATCAACGAAAAAATGCATACTGCTTATGTGGGCATTTTTTAAGAATACACGGCAAGAATGACTAGTGAGCCTTAAGAATATTTTCGACTTATAATGAGAAATTACTTCCTTCTGTTTCGTTTTCTACCATCGCGGATTCACTGAGAAGCAGGATTTGGCTCGAGCGCCGGTTTTCCTCCTCCTTCCACTCGCACGTTTTACCGCTCCCCCTTAAACGTTGTCTCAGTGACCTTGCCCAAGGTCTGTGGACACCGCTCACCGCTGTTCCAATTGAGGTTAGTAATAATATTAAAAATGTGACTCACTGACCCCGCCCGAGGTCAGCGAACACCCCCCAACTTACACTCGCTCACCTTCATCCGAGGTCAGCGAACACCCCCTTAATTACACGCGCCCGCCGTTGGTCCAGCGGGGGTTAGTAATAGTGTTAAATAATGCACATTAGTGTCCTCGCCCGATGCCAGCGATCACCCCCGAACCTACACGCGCTTGCCATTGGTCCAGTGGGGGTTAGTAAAAATGTTTTAAAAATGTTAAAATGTATGCCTACTAAACAGAAGGAAGTACAGTTGGTGCACCATCTCATGTTAAAAGGTTGGAAAACTTAATGAAAGTCATTTTGCGGGAAGTCAGCACACGCGGCGTGCCCCCAAATTATTATAACGGTATGGTTAGAACTATAAGTAAAAACAAGTCAGAGTTTGGTTGAGAAATTACTATTAACTAGCATAGAAAAATTTAATTTTTACAAAAATCTGCAAACTCAAGAAATGGCAATATGAAAATTTACTGGTCCACTGTGAACTAAAAGTGTGTTTAAGGCATGGGAATGGAAAAGGATGGCGAGGTTATACAGAATAAGTACAAATACAAAATTTTTATAGTGAATGTTTTCCAATAACATTTAAACCTCCACTAAATGTGTAAGAAATGGATGTAGTCACCTTAGTTAGAGTTTTTTCCAAATTTTGAATCTTCGGACACATTTCCGTTTCTAATGCACGAAAAGA